CCGTACGCACACACACATTTTCATTCGGACGGACGACTTGGGGCATGTACTCACATGACAACTTAATTGGTTGTAGCTGACCACTTTACGGCCAGCCGGATTGAATGGAGAAAAATTGTATTCCCCCCAATACAAAGCACCCTCATCATGAATGTATACGGGCTATGTTTCCAGTCAAATGCAGTCCTCTTGATGAGGGTGTGTTGTGTTCGGGGGAAGACGGTAGAGTCAATACGCCCTCCTCACTTGGCTGCAGGATGAATGCATCGTGTGTGCGCACGGAAACAAGAAAGCTATCTTCTTGGACATTCAATACATTGTTCTCCAATTTCAAGGGTGGAGGGGTTTAATTGAGTAGGACAAAAGGGTTAAATAACACTTAGGCCCCCTCGTTGGGCAGCCTTGAGGGTACTTTCGAACCCCATGCATCAAAGCCATGGATACAGCCCAGTGCACTTGTAGTACTGATCATTCGGTCGGCAATGAGCCAAACTGAAGCCCTGTTATACATAAATCAAAATATCATGATATTAATATCATATTACATATCATCGTAATATCATGATATTAATATCATATTATATATCATCGTAATATCATGATATTATATATCATCGTTATATCATGATATATAGCGTTAAAAAGAACTACGCGGTGAACTGTAGGCAGAGAGGGAGAAGAGGACACCAGCAAGGGGCTGTAACGGACAGTTTTGTCGGAGTTTCACTGACTCATCAGCTTTATACGTTCATGCATATACATAAGAAACTGAAAACCTACGCGTTAGGGGCTCGCCACACAGCCTTTCGAGGCGGGGCATTTTCCGAAAATTCTCAGATGGAATTCGAAATGTCGCGCTCGAAAGAAACCCCCCCTTCGCCACACATACTTTCAAAACCTGCTTTGAAAGCCGACTTTCGAACACACCACCACAAAAAACATAGTGGTCCTCAGGGTACCGACCGTGCCAGATGGTCCTCGAGATGGCCCTTTTCCACAAGACCTGAAGGCGCCTTTTGAGAATCGGGCCGTGACAGGCGGGAGGGACGCGCCACTTCGAAACGCCTTTCGAGGCTGAACTCTCTGACACCTTTCGAAACCTTTTCAAGCGCACATGTGTCGAAAGGCTGTGTGGCGAAGACGACCTGTCGGTTTTGCACGTTTCGAAAGACTGTGGACCGCTTGATATATACAAACAGTTCCATGATAAGGCGGATACAACGTAATATTGGGACGCTGGGCCCGGTTCTCAGCAGGTGCAGCTCCCCACCAATAGATGGAGCCTTCACACCCGGGGCCCTGCTAAGAGTGGATGCTCGTATCAACACGCTTAGCAGGCCTCCCCGGTCACGAAGTTCATAAAAAAAAAAAAAAAAAAAAAAACTGTGTGGCGACTCTGGCGAGTCCCTTAGTCCTTCGGGACATCCGTTAAAATTGGAACCATTCAGAGAAGATTAGCATAGCCCCTGTGAAAAAAAAAAGCCTACACAATGTAGTATGTACACATTAGACCTTGGCACCAGATGTACCTGCCTGGTGGTGGCTGAAGAGTACACACTTTGAAAAAAAAGAAGTCATTACCGATATAGGGGGGTGGGACGATTCGTAACAGCCCCTACCTTGTGCAGGCGACTAGTGCCGCAAGGGCAAGGCTGTCTCGTTTTCTTACTCTTTTTTGGCCTTATCATCATGCTTGCCAGTAATAAGCAACCGGACTGACGCCCCCCAGAATAGAAGGGGCTTGCTGCTTTGGGGAAAAAAAAAAGAAAAAAAGAAAAGTATGTATTATAAACAGTTCATAAGTTCCCCCTGACTACAGTATAAGGGCTTTACCCCCTTTCAAAGCGGGGGGAGAGAGAGCGAGAGAGACACAGAGAGAGAGAGAGAGAGAGAGAGAGAGAGAGAGAGAGAGAGAGAGAGAGAGAGAGAGAGAGAGAAGAGGAGGGGGGGGAAGGGAGGGAACAGGGTGGGAGACTTGCGGAGGAAATGTCATCTACCGGTTTTGGTCTGCCCATAGACTTGTGGATTGCCCACATGATGATCAACACATACAGGTGCTGTTTGACTGTTTGCTCTCTTGGAAAGCCAAACAGGAAGTCATTTGATGATACATGCTCAGTTGAGCGATGTATGTGGAGCCAAGGAACCGCCAAGTGATGAAAAGGACTTGAATGGACTATGCAGTGTCAGCAAAGCATCAACAAGCAATGCACATCCAGATACATACAAAAATGGCAGAATGTACCGCAACGGAAGACTCAAAGATATGGCCTGACCTATCGGAGGCTGACGCGACATCCCATCATACACCACACGAGTGAGAGAGGGAGGAGGGACTGCATATTCAGAAGAAAGGTCCCTCCTTGCACACACACATGGGGGAGATACCACGGATGAGAGATGGGGGGAGAGGCGAGACAAAGATGGAGGTGAGGGAGAAGACCAAGATTGCGATAGCGAAGCCCAAAAATAGTCTCCCTGCCGAATGTCCAATCAATGTCTGCCACAAAAAATGTCGAATCAGACCCTGGGCTTCATGCCCGATGTAACCTCTGCCTGTAACCTCTCTCTCTCTCTCTCTCTCTCTCTCTCTCTCTCTCTCTCTCTCCTGTCTCTTATACACATCTAGATGTGTATAAGAGACAGATCTTAGACCCTTCTTTAGCATGTAACAATAATAATAATAAGAAGAAGAAGAACAACAACAACAACAAAAAAGGAGGGAGAAGAGATGGAGGGCGAGACAAAGAAGAAGAAAAAAATGCCATCCTCCTTGCTGTCTCACCTGCTGGTAACTGCCGCCATGTACTGACCGTCGTCGTGTCCCTGCGCAGGTTGTTGGCGTGGAGCGCAGCTATGGCGCTCAGGTAAGCACCGCCGCCGCAGGTATGGCCTCCGCCTCACCTCCTACCTACGCCTCTACCTTCTAACGCAGTGCCTGTGTCGCGCTGCTCCAGCAGCGTGTCGCCCAAGAAGTGAGCTACTCGAACTGAGTGTCTGCCCTGGCCTGACCCAGCTATAAGTAGCGCTGGGCCTTGCCAGTCTGCCTCCGTGTGGGTCTGGTCAGCCAAAAACGTGGCCTACTGGCTCTGGGTCCCGACCGGACTTCCAGACCCTCCCTGCTGACGCAGCAGGAATGTCCGCTACTGGACGAGTACGAACCTGGCCCAAACGGGCCTGCCTGCGAGCGAGGCCCAAGGTGTGGCCTTTGTCTGGTCTGTTCGAACGAACTGCAAGTCCAAAACGACGCCTGAACAGACAAAAATAGGACAGAAAATAAAGAAATAAATAAATGAATGCTGCCTCAAATCGAATCCTGCGGCCTTAGGGCCAGTCGTGGGCCTCCAGGGCGCATGTCCGAAGGGCGTGCGGCCTGGGACCCCCAGCGACCGTCGGGCCCCCAAAATGGGGCCCGTGTGCAGGCTCAGCATGTAACATTTGAGGTGTAGTATAATGGAAGGATGGGACATCCATTACAAGGATTGGAATTTGAAACGATATAGAGAAGATTAGCATGAACCCTGTGCAAGGAGGGGGAAAAAAAAGGACGGACGCAGACGATAAACAGGAAGAAAACAGAAGAAGACAAACAAGTAAGGATGGAGGGAAGGGGGATACGACAGTGTGTTACGTGTTCTCCAGCTTCCGCCTGGATCAAAGTCGTTTGATTGAATGATGTTAGCAAGCACAGCTATGGTGATTGATGGACTGAAGCGATCGCAAAAGCACCCACCACAAAGAGACAGCAGGGGGTGCTTGCTGTGGTGGTCCCCAAAGCGCGCCCAAACATAGACACACACAATCAGTTTTATGCAAGTCTTTGCTTCATGTTTTTGCCTGTCTGTTTTCCTCGTTCCTCTCCTGCCCCCCCCCCGTCCATGTTTTTGCCTGTCTGTTTTCCTCGTTCCCCCCCAGACACACACTATCAGTTTTATGTAAGTCTTTTCTTCATGTTTTTGCCTCTGTTTTCCTCGTTCCTCCCCCCCCTTCCTGTCTCTTATACACATCTAGATGTGTATAAGAGACAGATCGTATGTTTTCTAAGCACTTTCTGTGAGCTTGGGTGAGTACCTTAAAGAAGTGCTAAGCAGTCAGTGTTGGGGTGTTTGGAGTGCCTGTAAGACTAGTATTATCGGGGCTGCTCTGTTCGTGATGTCTGTTGGGTGCGTATGGTCTATGTGTGACGACAGACATCGTCGAAGTGACTCACTGGATCAGTGGGCGGTGGGAACCAATAGTATGTGGGGTTTCACTCTTCACGTGAGCAGGTGATGTGGCGCTCTGCTCCGTGTTGGATGTGTAGACTCCCTTGTCTGTCCTCTGCCGCTGCCTTGCTGCCCGCCTCGCTTGCTTCGCATGTCGTTCTTTGTACCTGCTGTGTTCACTGTGTGGTGTTGGTGTTGCCTTGTGC